AGTCTTCAAACTTTGGGGGTTTTTCAAATTCTTTTGGCCATTTTATGTTCCCAGAATCAGTTTATCAAATCCTTGTGAGAAATTCCTTCTAGAATTTTGATTCAGATTGCAGTTGACTCTTGGCAAGAATTGATATCTTAATGATATTGAATCTTCCAATCCATGAACATGGTGTGCTTACCATTTTCTGAGATCACCTTTAATTTTTCACAGCAGAGTTTTGTATTATCAGTGTATAGGTCTTATAGATATTTTGTTGAATTTTCCCCTAAGTAATTGTTCGATGCAATTGTAAATAGTGTTTTTATTTTTTTTAAAGATTTTATTTATTTATTTGACAGATATAGATCACAAGTAGGCAGAGAGGCAGGCAGAGAGAGAGGAGGAAGCAGGCTCCCTGCCGAGCAGAGAGCCCGATGCGGGGCTCAATCCCAGAACCCTGAGATCATGACCTGAGCCGAAGGCAGAGGCTTAACCCACTGAGCCACCCAGGTGCCCCGTAAATAGTGTTTTTAAATTATATTGTCTAGTTGTTCATTGCAAGTATATAGAAATATAATCAGTTTTTTTATATTGGCCATGTATCTTGCAACCTTGCTAATAAACTCACTTGTTAGTTTTATTAGTTTTTGGTAGAGTCCTTAAGATTTTTCCAAATACATGGTCATATCCTCTACAGATGAGACCCTTTTATATATTCCTCTCTAGTTCCTGTGCCTTTTATTTCCTTATATTGATTTATTGCACTGGCTAAGACTTCTAGTACAGTGTTGAATAGAAGTGATGAGAGTAGACATCCTTGCCTTGTTCCCGATTAGAGAGAAAAGTATCCTTTACCATTGTGATGTTAGCTGTAGGTTTTACATAAATGCCTTTTATTATTAGGTTGAGGAAGTTTTCAGATTTTCAAAATTTTTCATAAATGAATTTGTCGAATGGTTTTTCTGCATGATTATATAATTTTTAACCTTTATTCTATTGACATGGCAAATTACTTTGTTTTTTAGATGCTGAAAAGGCTTGCATCTTTGAGATAAACCTTACTTGGTTATGATGCATCATTGCTGGGTTTGATTTGCTAATATTTTGGATGTTTCTAACAGTGGACTACCCAGATGAGCAAATAGGCTGTACTGTCCAAATAAGGTATTTGGAACAAGTTTGAGCACATTCTACAGATAAGTGATGTCTTAGTAAAGCCTGTAGTACACTGACAAATAATTTCACCTTCTGTTTTACTTGTCCTTTGAAGTCTCCTGCCATCAGAGACAGTATATGCATATGTAGGGCAACATAATGAGGTATGAATTTCAGAATAAACAGTGAGTTTCTTGATGGCAGGGAATTTATCTCATTCATTTCTACCAGGAGAAGATTAAATTCAAGTGGTGTTACAGAGGTCCAAAATCACAGTGGTTTATACAGAATGGAAATTTCTTATTCTCTCACAGGCCTGGTACTACTATCAGCCACAAAAGTCCTCACAGACCTAGTCTTCTAGCTCACTGCTCTACCAACCCTAGGATGTGACCTTACTTATTCTCGTGGTCTAAGGGGGCTGCATCTGCATTCCTACAGGAGCAGAGTGAGGGAAGGGATGAAGGAGCAGGAGCAGGGTGTATGCCAGCTGAGTTTTAAGGAAGATACCAGAAGCTGCCCTGAGAGACTTCCACATATATGTACCACTGACTAGAACTTAGTCATGTGGTAATAGCAAGGCGTGGGTTTTGAGGCAAGGGTTGTGGAAAATAAGCAGTCATTCTCTGTCTGTTGGAAAATCTAATAGTTTTTTTCACTTACATGGTTTTTCTGAAAGTTCCTGAAACAAAGTTATTTGCATTATTTTCCTTTCTGGGCCTGTTTTCTGGAGGAACCAAGATAACATTAACAAAGACAGTGGAAAAGAAAAGTCATGTTAACGTACAGTAAGCTGTGTGGGGTACAGATAGTGTGGTTCTCAGTATCTATGTCCCCAGGACCTTGCAGATGGCACACCGTAGTACCAGCATAGGTCTGTTGACTGTCTATATTATATATCTGCTTCCTCATTAGAATCTTTGCACCAAAAATAGAAATAGGAAAGGTGAATAAGGATATGTTCCAGATGGTCAAAATGGTAAGATTCGGAATTGCATTAGATGCTGCCTTACTGCCTTAAAGTCGGGTGTGCAGGGGAAAGTCTGTATGCACACGGGTGCAAGCAGGAGGTGTTAGGGAGCAGCTGCAGTGGTGACTCAAGAGAGCAAAGGGCAGGGATATGAGAAAAAGGCATCACTCATTATGTTACACTTCCCCAGATTTTAAAGTCTTACTTGCACCCACGCGAGACTTTCCTGGCAGCAGTCAGAAGGGCAAAAGGTTTAAAAGTCAATGTCTCCATCATGCGATTCGATGTGCTTTAATGCCGTGCTATGGACCAACTAGAATGGCATGCCCAATAATGGTACGCTCTCTTGCTCGGGGAATACAGCTGAAAGGAAGATGCTAGACTGAGGAGGTCTCTGTTCTAGTTTTGCTTATGTCGCCGTGAGACCTCACAGGTCACTCAGCTTGAGGTTTCCTCCTCTGTGGTTTTTTCCTCCATGGACTGTCAGGGAATTGACTCTCAAGAGACATACTGTCCATGTGTGTCAACAGCATGCTCGAATTATGTGTGCTCACCTAGGCACTAAACATGGAGTGGCTTGGACAAAAGCTCTGGATACATCAGACATGGGCCCCAGTCGGATGTGGAAATGTGTGGGCAACTATATGTCATTGGAACAAATGCCACTGTCTGGTCGAGTATAAATCAGGAGGGAAGTGGTTGATTGCCAAGGACCTAAGACAAGACAAGTTAGAGTCTTGAAGGACATTTCACATAAACTTCATAGGTGTTTGTCTGGTCTGGTAGAGTTGGGTGTGGGGAGCACAGAAGCACCCAAGCCAAGTGAAATGGGATAACTCAAAATGGTGCCGAATGCTGGAGCTGGTGGTTTGGTGAGCTCTGCTGGTTCTTATGAGGAGTCCGGCAAGCTCCCACGTCACCACTGTCTTTTGGAAGGCGGAGTGTTTCTAGGTGCTGGCCTGAATTGCCATTCTGGAAAGGCCCAGTGGTTGATTCTTAGAAATGCTATAATTTACTGGCCCACTGCCTGAAAGTGCTGGAATGAATGAACAGGGATGCAGAAAACCATCTGAGGGTATAAACTGCTTCCACAGTGTTGGGAGGTGGTGGTTTCCTTCCCTTGCTCTTCTCCCACAAGCTATTTTTTTTTGTTTTGTTTTGTTTTGTTTTTTGTCCCCTGAGCATTTCAGAACAAGTGACGAAAGAACCAGCATAGAACAAACAAGCATGAAATTCTTCTAACACCTCCCTTACTCACCATCCTTCTCACCGTCCCCCCCAACACACACACACACACACACACACACACACACACACGCACGGTATAAAGATAGAACTGGTTATTTTTCGTGGGGCTGGCTTTGATTTCCTCCTGTTTGTTTCATTTGGTGTTGTGTTTTGTTTTGGTTTGGTTTGGTTTGTTAGAGGGAGGGGAGGGGCAGAGGGAGAAGAAGAATGAGAATCTCAAGCAGGCCCCAAGCCCGGCACAGAGCCCAGTGTAGGGTTCAGTCTCACAACCTTGAGATCATGACCAGAGCTGAAACCAAGAGTGGATGCTTAACTGACTGAGCCACCAGGAGCCCTGTGATTTGGTTTTTATCCACCATTTCCAGAAGCTCTGGTAGCATGTATTGGGTGCCTGCACTTTGCTTGGGGCTGGGGGGTTGGGTAGGGTCGTGCTCCTGGAGTGGACAAGAACGGGGGCTGATATAGCATTTGAACTCAATTTAAGGGTAGAAATTGGAGTCTTGGTAGTTTGTTTCTTCCCTACACAGGAGGGGTGGGTGTAGCCACCTGACAGGCTTTAAGTTCCCTCCCCTTCTTTTTATCCAGGTGATAGTTTCCAAAAAACTCCCTCAAGGGAAGAAAATAGTCACAAAAGGGGAGCACAGAGCCTTATAACATTTGTTTAACCAGGGGAAAGAGTGCAAGGAGCGGTTTGCCTCACAGCAGTGCGGTGAATGGTGTGGACTTGAGCCTTGGCTGTCAAAGAAAGCCAGCCCTTTCCCTGCGCTTGTCCCCAGGGGCCGCCGGCCCGCAGCCATTCAAGGAAGATGGGGAGGAATGACACCTGTGTTGTGAAGCTCCTCTGAGCCATGCCAGGTCCTGTGCTGGGTGTGTGCTCTCACTCTGTCCTCACAGTTGGGGAATCATTTCCCTGGTTTGTTATTTTTTTAAGATTTTATTTATTTGAGGGGAGCCTGGGTGGCTCAGTCATTAAGTCTCTGCCTTTAACTCAGGTCATGATCCTGGGGTCCAGGGATCGAGCCCCAAATCAGGCTCCCTGCTCAGTGGGAAGCCTGCTTCTCCCTCTCCACTGGCTTATGTTCCCTCTCTCACTGTGTCTCTCTCTCTGTCAAATAAATAAAATCTTTAAAAAAAAAATAAAAAGATTTATTAGAGCCTGAGCAGGAGGAGCGGCAGCAGGAGAGGGAGAAGCAGACTCTCCCCACTGAGCAGGGAGCCTGAGGCTGGATTCTAGGACCCCATCATGACCTGAGCTGAAGGCAGACGCTTAACCATCTGCCATCTGAGTGACCCAGGCTCCCCGAGTTCCCTGTTTTTTGGAGATGTGCAAAAAAGGTAAGTATTATCAACCCCAGTGGCAGAGCCACCTTGAAATTCTGGTCTAATTTCCAAGCCCAGGATTCTTTATGTAGAGATAGAAAAAATCTGAGGGTCTCCACAAGGTGTCAGTGTCTCGGAGCCCTCTGCAGAGGTGACCGTGGGGCAGCAGGTGAAGAGGGGTGGTCAGAGGGAGATCTTCCATCGCCAGCCAGCGCTTCCTGTAAGCCGACCAGCCTCCGTTTGGCCTCCTGCTGGATACCTGGTCCCCTGGAGAGGACTTGGTTCAACTAGGTTTAATGCGTTTCCTTCTTTTCTCCCTCTGCAGATGGATTTGTCTGTGGAGACGCTCTTCAGCTTTATGCAGGAGCGCCAGAAGAGATACGCCAAATACGCGGAGCAGATCCAGAAAGTCAATGAGATGTCAGCCATCCTCCGCCGCATCCAGATGGGCATTGACCAGACGGTGCCCCTGATGGAGCGGCTCAACAGCTTGCTGCCAGAGAGCGAACGCTTGGAGCCCTTCAGCATGAAACCAGAGAGGGAGCTCAAGCTCTAGGGCTGCCACTCCCCTCCGGCCGGCTGGGTGCTTGCTCTCTGGGGACAGAGCCAGTCACTGCCCCTGGGGCCCGAGGCCCCGGAGCTGACTGGGTCCTAAAGCCGAGTGGAGGATTTGGGACTCTGGGAAGGGGTGTGTAGTGGTCCGGCTGGCCTGAAAATCTGATCCTGCGCCACCTACCCCTTTCCTTCATGAGTTTTTCCCCTTGGCAAAACGAACCATATAACTCATTCTCGGTGCTAACCGAATTTGGAGTATCTGAATTATTAGAAATTTCTTGCAGAACTCTATGTCGGGAATTCTTTTTATTTTGTTTAGACTTTCTTTTTTTAATTGAGAGTGTATATTGTCAAGTCTAGCTTGCAGAGTGAAAATATGGAGAGAAGGGGAGAAATGGTTTAAGAAGCTCTGTGTCCTCAAGGCCTTCATGAAATTTTACTCAGGCTTTCTGGGTTATGAATTGTAAACATAAAGAACTAATTTAATCCAAGTCTCGGTGTTGTTACTGTTCCTGCCCTGTTGACATCATGTCAGGTCTTTATCTGGGGCACCCTGTTCCTGCCGCGGTAGAACACTGGTATTTTTGTTGTGTGCTGGGTTATGGTGTCCCTTGTGTGTCGTCATTGGAGACTGAGGACTTCCTTTGAACACCCTCATTGGGCTCATCTCCCACTGATAACTGGTTTCCTTAATGCACACGTGGTTTAGGTTTCCTCACATTACATCAGCACTGGCAAGGCTCCAGTTTCTGTGACAAGGTTTTAACCCATACTGATTTTACTTGCGTGGTAAACCTCCGGCGTGGTCAGGCTTTGAAATGCCTGCAGCAGGCGTGTGTCGAGCCCACTTGCTCTGCCTGACGTTGTGCCCTGACTACAAACAGGCCTCTGGGGTCCCGGCCCTCCTTTTCTTCAGAGAGGAAACTCACAGTGCTGCTGAGCTTCTATGGAAGTTTGGGAAAGGAAGCCACCTGAGTAACCGCAGAAGTGCTTAGTGCAGGAGTTTGCACCTCAGAGCTGTCCTCAGGGAAGGCTAAAGATGCAAAGAAACAGAACGGAGCACCAGGTGGAGGCAGGCACGTCACGACCAGGAGCTGGGAATATGGGGAAACCTCTAGGCCAGGCCATCCTGTCAGGACTCGCCTCGTTCCCCTTATTAAATCCTCTAAACTTCTGAAGGTGCTTTGAGATATCAAAAACAGCCTTTGGTAGCTTTATAACCTTAAAGTTGATCCTTTTAGCATATCTCTGGTAAACGTGATCCGATTCTAATCTCGGATTTTAAATAGATACTATTTGGGAAGATTCTTAGAACCCAGAATAAAACGTAGGACCTAAAATAATTGGATAACAAAGAAACTTGAGCATTCGAAGCTAAGTGGAAACAAAAAAATTAATTCAGACACCGGAAAAAAAACCAGCTTCCAGGATTTTCGAAGGAACAACCAAAGAATATCAAGACTGTTCATCCCTCTGAGCTGGAAAGAGCAGATGGACACCAGAGCCCAGGGAAGAGGCCAAGGCGACATCCCCCTCTTTCAGCGGGTGACTTCCCATGTCTGCCTTCCTGGGGAGTGATGCCTTCCTCTCCCCAGTAGGAAGGCGGCCTAGAGGTGTCAAGCCTCAGGAGATAAAGTGGTGTGAGGGAGTTGTGGGGGACTCGGAAGCCACGAGCTGGGGAGGGAGGAACTCTCCCTTGAACTTCTGTTGGCCCTCACTGGTGAAGGAAGTTTGTGTTTCTAATGCCTTTTGATGGTCGGGATTTTACTCGGTCTTAAACCATTTCTAGAGGAATTTATTCGAGGGTACAAATCTGGAAAGATGTTTTGTTTCTTAGAAACCTATTAATAGCTAAGGTTATTTTAGGAAATGTCACAGAGGGGAGGGTGGTGATATTTAGTGAATGTGTCCTCCCCCCGGCTGAGGCACAGTACCCCTTCTATTATGTTCCACATTTCCATGTGATTGAAGAGCTAGTTCTGGGCTCTGTTCTCATCCACTCATCTTTCTCCCCATCCCCCCGCCCCGTTTCATGTGGTTCTTCACTTTTCTATACTGTTTTAATATAATTTCACAATATATTTTAATATCCCTTGTAGCCAGATTAGGTGCTACCCATGCTTATTACTGCTTTTTCCTTTCTTTAATTTCAAACCAACAGGAATTGAGTTCCAAAAAAAGAATACAAGGAATACTTCTATTCCCCTTTGCCAAGACTGGCAGGAAGTGGCTTTTTTAAGCCATCACCATCATTGTGTTTTTCTGAGTTCCTGGAGTGCACAGATTGCAGATCCCCACTCTGAACACGGGCATGCTTACAGCTTTCTGAGGATGAAGAGCCGTAAGAGCAGCTCGGGGGTCAGGCGCTGTTACCATCACCACACTTAGTGTAATTCATAAATTAAAGCACAGAGCAAATAAAATGAGACGCAGACCACGCCCCCTGAGGATGGAGCTCACTCACTGTGTTTCAACAGTTCATGGTGAGAGTGTGGCAGGAGGGTGGACTGACCACGGCATGAGAATATTCTCAGCCAGCCAGTCGGCTTGCCACCCACCTCAAAACCCAAGTCTTCTTATAAAGAAGTTAGACAGGGGTGCCTGGTTGGCCCGGTCAGTACAGCATGCGACTCCTGGTCTCAGAGGACTGTGAGCTCAGGCCCCATGTGTAGAGGGAGTAGAACTTACTGGGGGAAAAATTTTTTTTAAAAAGTTAGACAAAATGATAATAACTTGCATTTGGGTCCTAAGTACTGAGGCTCCTCATTACTGGGTAGAAGCAGAGAAGAACAATAGGCAAATTCAGTATTTTTTTTAGAGAATTCTAGTGTTTATGCTGTGTGGGGTGGTTTTGCAGTGTTGTCAACTTGGCTGAGCTGAACTGTTTTCCACAATCTCTGTTTGTTTCTGGTTAGGGTTGGCCACGGGAGCCACTGCATGAAATTTGGAAGTGGACAGAAAGCAGCAGCCCTGCTCCCTCGCCAGAGGTCGCCGACGTCAGGCCCCCACTGCATCTCAGGCTCCGGTTCAAGGACTGCTGCCCTGTGCTGGGCCCAGCAGCCAGGCTCATGGCCACTCCAGCTCCCACAGAACTCCGCCTTCAGTTCTTCCAAATCACGGGCCAGGTATGAATTGAGCTTCTCCTGTTAAGTCATTTGCAGGAGGATGAGGCTTCAAGAAGAGGGGAAACTGGTGTGGGTCCTGGCGAGAGGCGGATGCCAGTTCCAGCCGGTTGCTCGCAGGCTGCAGCTGTCCTGGCTGTCTCAGATCACACTGCCACCTTCTTTCCCAACCGCCTGCCCGGTGACTTCACCTGTACCAGAAACCGCTCGACTGGGGCTCGCTTAGCAGCACCCGTAATGAAGTGCGCAAGGTGAGTCCTTCAACACCCCTGCTCCTGATTCTGGACACTCCTAGTGTCCAGCTTGACCTTTGGCAGATACCTTCATTTCCCTGAGCCTGTTTCCACTTCCTTGCAGTGTGAGCCGGGCTGGACAGGCTCTCGGGCCCCTTCCAGCTCCAGGATTCCACTTCTGTGACTGACACTCTAGCCACATCTTTACCTGTTGTCTCTGAGCAGTGGCCCTGTGTTTTGGAAGTGACTTCACATTCTGAGCTCCCAACAGAGCTTGTTTCCTTCTTTTTATTAGAAAAGATCCAGTGATTCCTTTCTTTTGAGCATCTGTTTTGCTAATCTATCGACCTCTGCCTCTGTATGTATGAACACTGTCAAACATGCCCCTATAAACTGCAGTGTCCTTGTTTGACTCATTGTAGTGGAAGTTGGTAGGAGCTGGCCTTCACCCCGTGTCGTGTGTGCATGCCAGTTTATAGCGTGTGAGAGTGTAGATCTCATGAGAACCTATATAATTTGACAGATGTCACGTCTTTGTTGCCCTTAAAGTTCTGTCCTTAGGAACAGAATTTATATCTCTGTAGGGTCAGCACTGGATGAAATGTATGATAAGGATTCCATACCCCGAGATGCAGAAGTGCACTCAAGGAACAAGGCGGGCTTTTTGTTTGTTGCAATCTCCTTCACTTTTCCCACCGACCTATAAGGAGGGTACGTTACGGGGGTCCCAAACATGCAGTTTCCAAGGTTACATACACGAACGGTGCTGGGGGACTGACCTGGGGCCCCTGCTTCTGTGGATTTGTAGAACTGACTCAGCTGTTGCCGTTCCCTTAGCAAGTCCCAAGGCAAAATCAGGAATCTTCAGGAATGGAAGCTGGGAGCAAGCCTTGATTAATAGTCTAGGGTCAGTGAAATTTGGTCTTCCCAATTTGTTTGTACCTCAGCTAAACCCAGATATATAGTACTCAGTAGGAAACTACTTAAAATGTTGCTATTAAAGATCGAAGGGTAGAGTGAAGTGACCATTCTTCCTGGGGGATGTCATAGGTGTAAATTGTTCTTCGTGCCAAGAGAAAGAATTTGCTCTTCTTTCCCCTGCCCTTTGCTTCCTCAGTTAAGAACTGCACAGCAGCCCCCAGGTCACTGCGTTCACTAACGTGTGGTAAGCAGCACTGAATTTCTTGCACACACACAAGGGGTGTCGCTTCCATTCAAATGGCCCAACTCCAGAGGGGAAGGGTGACCCGATAACTTCCTTATTCACATGCCTTAAACCAAAAAAATCAAAATTGTTGGCAACTAAACCCAGTTGCTTCCTAGTCTACCAGTAGCTCCTGTGGTGTGCTGATGTGTGTCCATTCCTGTCAGGGTCTTGGGCAGGGTCATCCGTGCCACTATGAGGCCTGATGGAATTTACTAGGGACTCTGTTCTCTTCACCAGTTAAGGTATCTTCCTCCTGCGACCTTTTATTTTTATGATATAGTGAGCAGGATTCACGCTCAAAGCTTTGGTGAACCAAGTGCCTTAATTTCAGCCTTTGAAAGTGTCGGAATTCCCTCTAGCAGAGAGAACCCAGAGCACAGCTGAACTCACCCTCTGCAAGCTACCCTCTTTGCCTGGGACACTGTTCCCTCGAGGTCACAGCCCGCATTTCCCGTGGTACATTGTTTCCACGGACTTGACTGAGCTAGAACTAAAGGGGTGAAACTGGTTTTTACATAAACCCACTTTGTTGCCTGTGCATATAAACTGCAACAACGGGACTGACGTGTAAACATTTTCCAAGACAGTGAGGTAATTTTCCAGTTGATTTTGCAAGACTTTGAAGATAAAACTGAATATAATTACGCTGTACAAGGAGGCATGGGCCCCACAGAATGCTAGAAATAACTCACTTCCCTCTTTCATTTATAGATACAGGACAGTAATGTTCAGAGAAAAGCACCTGTACAAATGTTACTAGATCTAAAACGATTCTACATGGTGTCAGAAAACAAAACCAGATGGTATTAAAAATGGCAGTGACGGCTTTGACGTGAAAAGTTTCTGTCAACTAGTCCCGGTATGTACACCCTTGCCTTGCCATCTCTATCTTGTCTCCCCTTAGCCTGAGCCCTGGTCTGATATTCCTTGTCAAACTCATACCAATCCTCCCCTACTAGCCTGTTCTTATTGGCCTCTAAGAGGTCCCCAGATCTGTGCGCTTAAGTCATAAGAGGCTTGGCCTTCAGGAGCTCCCAAGATCTGCACCTTCTCATTTGAAGCCTCTCCCTGAACACCTGCTCGCACACGCTGCCTTCCTCTCTGGAGGCGGACGTGCTCCCACTCCCTTTGCTCTTCTGTCCTGTATCTGCCTCTGGTTCTTTGCCAGGTCCAGGCCAAGGCCGTTCTTAGTCTTGGCTCACCCAGTAGCATCCCTCTTGCTTTTAAATTTTCTTAAATTTAACTTCATCTCAGAAGCCTGTCCCAACCAACTTAAGTGACATCACCTGTGATTCTTATTCCAAGGTAATATGCTTTATTATGAAGCATATTTATGGAGGTAGTAAAATGCTTTATTCCTTTGATGAGACTAAGCTACTAGTCTCCTAAATTGTCCTGTGCAGTGTCCTTTATAAGCAGAGGGGTCCTGAAGATGTACATGGCAAGGATGGAGAACAGATCTTTAATGACTATTCCCCATTTTTCCTAAAAGAATTATAAAACCATTTACATATACAGTTAGAATGTGCCATGAATGTGCATCTGGTCGTCTTCCCTATACTTATTCTCGGTTCAGTCAGTCGCAAATATTTACCAAGTGTCTAGGGCTCCCCACTGTAGTGTGCATTGGTACAGGCATTGAAGAACGAAGGCCAGCGTGGAACCGTCAGCCAAGGAGCTGGTGTTTCGTGGGAAGGACGGCACACGTACTGTATCTGGTGCCCTCACCACTTTATTTTGAGCTAAGTCCCCTTTGCTGTGGGAACAGCGGGACAGGTCCCACCACTGCCTCCTTCTGCAACTTCGATATTGTTCTTCCCACCAAAAGCTGCAAGGAGAGGTTCTTTTCTCATTTATGTATAAACAGGTACCAGTTTTGATTTTATTTCATATTAACATACATGAACATCAAAATGAGAAATGCACAATTTAACCATTCAACAGCATCTTACTCCAAAAGAACACTATATTCATATTAAACATTTATACAGTCTTTCCACCTCACTTTACAAATGTCAACCACAGTCCAGCCTTTCTCACACACAATCTAGTTTTGCTCTTTAGAAATCACGGTTCAGTATCCTGCTGGCACACTCCAGGGCGTGCCCTACGAGCCCCTACGGCAGAGAGCAGCCAGCCTCCCCACGCAGGGGCAGGGGCAGGGCTCGCCCCGGGGCCCCGCAGTCTCCGGCCAGAGAACTGTGTATCTGACATACGCAGTCGAGACCGAAGGCTGTAGGGCAGGACTACCTCACAGTCACGGGAAAGAAGGGGACCATGGCCCGGAGAAACCCTGAACGATGGAAGTCTCCCCCACAACCCTCCTGGGACAGACTTAACACTGGAGCTCTTGCTTTCATTTCTTAAAAATGTTCCACAGTTATGACCAGACTCTGGAGAACAAGTGAGCTCTTCCACGCTTGGTGTATACAGAACACCTCAAAAATTACTCCTTGAGAATGTCTGATTACACCCCAGATTTAAATGTATGTGGAAAAACTAACATCATTTAACAGAACTTTTTCCATACAGGAACACTGAGCTCCCTATGCAGTGTCCTCTCTTCCCGCCTTCATTTTATACCCGGATCACAGCACGTTACCCGTGCACAAGCGAGCGGTTCTGTTATGCACTGCTTGGAATCATCATGAGCAAGTCCGTTCTGAATCACATCATTCATTCTGTGCTGGTTTCAGCAGTCATCATAGGAAACATGAAGTCACATCCTAGTCGAAGGACTATCCATTTCTCAAACACAGAAAAACCTGAGATATGAGTCAGCAACTAGCTACACTTACAGTAAAGAAAAATGACAACACCCCCATCCCCCCCCCCCAAAAGAAAAGCTGCTGACGTGAATTAAGGCTTCAAAAGAGGACCATACTGTAGCTGACAAGACTCAAGCCGGGAAGTTTAAAAGCAGGTATGTACTAATCACTTGTGTACTCGCTCCAATTAACTCCTCTATTTTCAGCTGCCAGGATTGAGTCTATACAGTGATTGTAGGTCAAAGACTGAGAGACCACCTTGGTCCTGCTCCATTTTGATATGTCCTTTCTACTAAAAAAAAAAAAAAAAAAAAGGCCGGAGATACTTTCTGAGAATAGCTTGGCTGTGGCTTCCCACTCCACTCACAGAAGCCAGCCACCTTCCCCTCACCTTCCTATACTGTTTTATTCAGAACCCTCCTCATTGAACTAGCCTCTCAGCCCTATTAGTAAATCGGAAAGTGTGAGGAAATTACAGAACTACCTCCTTCAACACAGGCTCAGGGGAACAAAACCATTGAGAAAAAGGAGTTTCCTGGCTCTCCTTAGCAATTTTAATTCTTTAATCTTTCCAGAGATTTTCTCCCTCGTGATAGTTTCCTGTAAAAATCTACCTGTTAGGTTTTTTTAAAAAACCTATCTGTGCAAAGAAACCGAAATGGAAAAAAATCTACTTTGGCTGAGAACTTGAAGGTGCTGCTGTTCTACCAACCCAAATAAATTCACATCTGGCTTCAACCAAGTTCATCTTTATTTAAAGGATTAACAACCCCATTTGGAACAATTCTTTGATTCACATGGAGGGAGGAAGACTTGTGTAGCCTCCCGACCTACCTTAAATCATTACAAGGCCAGGTCCCTGGCTGTTCAATTGAATCCTAGACGGTTCCCCTTCTCTTCGTCAAGCCGAGAAGAAAAAATTAACTACCACCATCCAGGCCCAACTGGAAATTTGTGCAGAGACAGTCTGAATTGGCCTGCGAAGTGTGACTAGCTACCTACCTATTCACAACGCCTAGAAGACAGGCTACCGGACTCGGTAGTGGTAAAAGCCCCGACTTTCAGTCTGAGGTACTGGGTTTGCTCTGAAGTCGACCTTGGCAAGGCCCCTAATGGTGTGTGCAGCAGAATGAGGCTCGCGGCACTCGGCTGCCACGTGAGCTTGGGTGTGCGAGTCCACTTTGGATGGGCTCGTTTCTCTTGCGTTTACGGTGAGGTTCTGTCCCTGATGGGGTCTACCCGCCCAACCCACGAGCTGGCTCAGTCTCAGCGCTAAGGTGCACTACAGAGGGGGCCGGACAGGGGCTAGCACTCGAGAGCTCTTGTAGCACAACATGAACATGGGAGGGCATGTCATCCTCCACCACCCAAACTGGACTCAGTAGGAACAAGAGGATGTGCAATGCGCTGCGTACAATTTCTCATCCGGCGGGGAGGACATCTAGCATCTGCCCATCCACTCTTGTTGAGAAAGAGCAGCTGCTCTCAAGTGCAGACGCTGAGAGAGCAGCTGTGTTGATCCATCATTTGCTTTTACACCATAGCTCCATTTTCCAAAAATATATATGTATGTACATATATATATTTCAGATTTACAGGGAATATTTTTGTGAACAAGAAAGTACTATCCATAGAAGCCCGCAGGGTCTTCCTTCTCAGGAGACCTCAATGATTTCCATGCTGCCCGAAAAGCTGGACTGGCTGCCCACTTTGCCCAGTTCTTCCCGCGACCTGTTCTCCGACATGATGCTCTCGCCGAATTCCATCTGGCAGCTTCTGCGCTTCAGCTGCTTTTCAAACGGGCTCTCCTCGTGCCAGCTCCGCCGGGAGTCGGCCCTGTCGCTGGGCTTCTGCCGCCGGCGCACGGAGTAGAGCGGGTCGCCGCAGGTGGGCAGCTGGCTGCAGCTGTAGGCCGAGTAGCCGCCGCCCCCATAGACGGCTGAGGCCGAGCAGAAGCGAGGGGGCTCCGGGCCGAAATACCAGCTGCCGGTCAGGGAAGGGGCGGAGGTGTGGGGAGCCAAGATGTCCGAGTGCCAGCCCTTGAGGCCCAGGCCCGCGGCGGACTTGGCGAGGTGCTGCTGGCTGGCGGACAGGCCGAAGAGGAAGCTGGCGGGGCGGTTGTCCTCCACGCTCCCACTCCGCTGCAGCGGGGAGAAGAGGGGCCGCGGGGCGGCGCCCCCGGCGCTGGTTCTTCCCGTGTGCAGCCGCTTCCCCGGGCCCTCGGGGGGCCTGGCCGGCTGAGGCTTCTCGGGGAGGCTGGCTTCCTCCTTGTCCGGGCTGCTCTCGGGGGTCTGCTCCGACACTTCCTCCACCGGAGAGAACTGGCAGAGCTTGGTGGCCCCCTCCAGACTCGCGGAAGGCTTGTAGTATTCCAGAGCCTCTTCTGAGGACGGGAAGCCGTGCAAGGACGCCGCCACACTGGCTGAGTACGAGAGGGATTTGATGTCCAGAGAGAAGGAGCGCTTGAGCTTACTGCTGTCCTCTCGCTTGCCCGAGGGCAGGTGGAGGCTGCCGAGCGCCTGCACCAGGGGGCCGTCCTCCAGCAGCGAGGGCTGCAGGCCGGGTGCGCCGGCGGGATGTGCGGGCCGCTGCCCCGCCACCTCAGAGGGGGCGCAGTTGGCACAGGGTGGGCTGAGGCCCAGCTCTCGCTTCTGTGCACCCTCGGAGCCCGCAGGGACGGCTTCATGGGGCTTCTCCAGGTGCAGCAGCTTGAGTTTGCTCTTTGGCCCTGATGCACCCATCTGGTTCTTGATCTTCTTCTCATAGTCCAGGAGCTGGCCCAGAAAATTGAAGTTTGGAGATATAGTAGGTCTTTTTTCTTTCACAAATCTGTGAAGAGAGCAAAGGCACAAAAATCGTAAATTTTGCAGCTGTACTTTATCTTTAAAATAGCTAGAAAATAGAATATTAAGTAAAAGGGAATTATTAGAACCTCCAAGATACCTATGGGAAGATGACTGGTATGAAAGTTCAGGGAGACATACATGTCCCTGGAGCATGCTAGAAAGACAGGGCCCAAGCTCCCAAAGCTCTAGTTTCAGCCTTCTTATTTTCAAGGACCCACAGTTTCCAATGCAACCGACAAGCAAAGATTCTGTCCTAACCACCCCCGCCCCAACCCCAGCGCTGGTGCCGCTGTCACAAGTACAGACTGAGAGCCACTCTCCAGCTTTCCCTCTATCGTGCCTTCTCAAAGTCCCCACAATCACTTCCTCAGGACATTGCATGTTTTAATGAATGATAAGAAAAGCGGTTATCAGGTGACCAGAGCATCAAAGCACACACTCAAATTCCTTCTGTCTCCAGCATGACGGAGTCATCAGCTCTCAGGTGGCTCTGTGTGCTAAGCACTGGGCTACTGCATTAGACAGAGTATTATCTCATTCAGTCCCCAAAACTACCCATGTCAGGGGGGTATTTTACCCCATCAGATAGGGACACAAAGTCCTTAAGTGACTTGCCCAGAATCACACAGCTGGGATTCAAAACCAGGCCTAATGTCTGGGTCCATTTTTATAACCACTGTGTTAAAAAGAATCATCAAGGGGCAACTGGGTGGCTCAGTGGGTTAAAGCCTCTGCCTTTGGCTCAGGTCATGATCCCAGGGTCCTGGGATCCAGCCCCGCATCGCATCGGGCTCTCTGCTCAGCAGGGAGCCTTGCTTTCCTCTCTCTCTCTGCCTGCCTCTCTGCCTACTTGTGTTCTCTGTCAAATAAATAAATAAAATCTTTAAAAAACAAAATCATCAAGGGGTAAAAACTAGTAATAAATAGCTTTTATTTTTAATAGTGGAAACAGACTATTAGACGAATTCATTGACTACTGACCTTCACAGACAGCCTGCCAAAGACCGCAGGAGTGAAACCACAGTGAGGATTTGTACTTGAACACAGATAGAGGAAAATCACAAACTCCTTGGAAATCAAGTAACCTAAAGCAAACTGAGGTCAGAAACAACTGGCCCCACCGTAACAAATATAAACGTAGGGTCCTCGTAATAAGACGTGGTAACGTGACAGAAGAGTGCCTTTCCTTCTGCTTCCGAAATGGTGCCAGAAGCCCTGTGGGGAGAACAGCCTGACTGGGGGACGAGGGAACTGATGGAGACCAAGGAAGGACCCTTCTCCTCCAGGCTCACTCCTCGAATGAGAAGCTGCTCGGGCAGCCCATTTCTTTCTAGATCTTCCAATGTGAGAAAAAAGTCCAATTGTTACAACAGGCCTGCTTCCTGCACCCGTAGGTATTGGCTCTCCATCCCATGGAAACTCCCACCTCTACCCGCTAAGTGCGCAGGGGCCGCCCATTCACCCAGGGCACAAACCCTGGTCCTGTGCGCGCTTGCCATTGGCCTGCCCTCCACTTGGCCCAAGGGTGGAGAGAGCGATCCAGTCAAAATGCAGACTCTGGGCAACTCTAGAATGTAGGACATTGGACTCGGTAAACGTATTTTGACAATTACTTGCTCTCGGGCTTTTTCCTCACAGTGATGGAGGCACAAAGCTTGAAGCAGGAGGAGGAATTCTGTAACGGGTAATCTGCTGAGCTTTTTTTCCTCAGATATACTTCCCCAGTTAGGAAAAGATATAAACTCACTTAACGGGATGGTGTTCTGTTTAGATTTATTGTTCCTGAAAATTAGAAAGTAGCTGAAGATGAACCCAACACGAGTTTGGGTGGAATTCATGCTAACTTATACAAGTGCATTCTTCTCTGGTCTTTGAAAAACCATTTAAAAATCCAGTCACCTGTACGGCATGTAACTAAAATAGTCCTGATTTGCTTTAATTTGGTTACACGCCCTCCTCTCCCTTCACACTTCAGGTCAGATGAAAAGCCTGTCGCACAAGATGCGTTCTGGCCCTCACCTGTAAGCTTCATCTAAGGACATGTCCATCCTCTTCATGATGTAGGCGATGGCGATGGTGGCCGAGCGGGAGATGCCGGCTAAGCAGTGCACCAGGACGCGCCCATTGGAGGCCTTGGCTTTCTCTGCAGGAGTCAAATTTAAAAAGGGTCACTAAGAACAACGATGGTCAAGGGTGAGATCTTGCTGCCAGTTACTTCCTTTCATCCAATAACTCCGAGTAAATCTCATCTACTTACATATTGTTCCTTTCAATAGTTTCTTAGGGAGATAAAAGGAAGATCACTTCACCATTTACATACAGGACAGCAAAGGGCCAGATGTGTTAGTAAGCACTGAGTCCCCTAACTCAAGCTCGCCTCTTACTCGGTACCTTTCCCAATGGGTTTTTTACATTATTTTTATTTTAATAACTTTCCCTGGCTATAC